CTGCTACTCGTGATTCTTGGACCATTTTATCTTTTTCTCTTAGCTATCTTTAATCTATCTATTAGTGTGACGTATAGCCTACGTGCGAGTGCGGTTGCTCGTGATTTTTTTTAAATGTAAGTTATTTATTATATTCTAAAGTGTGACATTTCAACATTTATACACTGTAGGAAGAAATACGGGCGATGAAAGTTCCGCGTGGTAATATTTATTTACTTAGAAAACAGAAACATTGTGCAATGTACCTACCAATGGTAAGGCCAGTTTATAACACTTAAGTACTCAACGAGGGGACTTCTCGCTCATTTAAAATGGCTACAAAGTTAATTTAAATATCATAATATTATATAGGCTAATCCCGGGATCGGCTGAGACGAATCCCGAAATCCCGGGATTGAGACCCCTAGTTATCGTAGGTATTGTAAATTAATTTATTGTAATTTACTGCTCTGTTTTTGTTCTTGTTTCAATATTTTACATTGTTATTGAATGTAGCCTGGTATTTCTTGTTGACTGATCTGTTATCGTATCGTTTCTTGTTGTATTGTTAAACATATTGTTCGTTGCTTTTGCTTGTGAATTTTGTTGTACTTACAGTTCTAACTTATTTTGAATTGTCAATGTATAAATTGGCAATTTTGCCGTTGAAATAAATTAAAATGAAATTTCATTCAGCATTAATTCGAGTAAACAGCTGTTTGCTCCCCTCACTCAGTCCTCAGCCCACATACGGACCCGTACAGACCACACCATATTAGCCTACCAACAGTACCGCTCAAAACGCTTCGTTTTCCAGCCACTTAGGAATATCTCCGACAAAAACTGTTTGCATTTTTGGATTCAGTGTGAAAAAAAAAACTGTAAATAGACATATAGGCCTAAGTTTAACAAAATTACATCTTTCCCCAATGTAGACATACGGAATGATTGCCATAAGTTTAACTTTAACTTCTGCATTGTTTCTTATTCTTTAAAAGCGAAAATTTTGAGACGTAAAATTATCAAGGCTATGAGCTCTAACCCTCCGAGTGTCACGCGTCATAAAAATGACGCACAACACACTTTGTGTAGGGTCACGCGTCACTTTTATGACGCACAAACATCGTTTACGGCGAAGGCTCTATGACTGACTGAATCGGATTGAACTGGATCGAGTTAGGTATCGTTCTTTCCGTAATATTCTAAGCTTTCTCCAGAGGTCTGTCTCTAAGCGCTATTCATTTTAGTTCCGAAAATATTGTAGCAGACAGCTGACGTGCGTGTATTTGTAAACAGCTAGGTTCCCCCGGACCGATGACTGATGTGTTTTATTACGTTTATCATTGTTTTAGTGTTAAAAATCAAAAGTAGTGATATACGTGGTGCATTATAAGAAGATTTAAGTGGTTTTGAAGTGCTGGTTGATGATCCTGAAGAAGTAGGTAGTGATATTGATGTAAATTATCAGCCAGATTCCTAGCTATGGTTAGGCTATGCATTCTTAGCTAAACGCTATGTACTGAAATCCGTTTTTCGCTCATAACTTATTTATTTGATAACTTACCTCGCTATATGATTATATATTTGTAATCCTCATTAAATTTAGAACAAAGGGCAATTCCACGGTGTCGGACGTAGATTTCAGACACATTTTTCTGCTATTTTAATGCTTTAAAATTACTTTTTGTAAAAAACCTTAATCTTTAGTATTTTTATTTGAAAGAACAGTTCTTTAAGAACATTTTCATATGTAACATTTTTAAATTTTAAAATCTTTAATGGCTAAAAAAATTTTTTTCTGCGGTGTCGGACGTAGAGTGCACAAAATCGATATTTCTTTTTTCCTTATTTGACTTTAAAAATCTGTGAATTTTAAAGAGATAAAACAACAGAAAAAATCATGGATGTAAAGAAACTTATTAGCTTTAAAAAGAGCCTAGGTTCAAGTTTTTTGGTTCAATAGTTTTGACACAAAAAAAAATCTCCTACGGTGTCGGACGTAGAATTTTTGGTGTCGGACGTAGGTTGTGTGATTTTTTTTAGATTTACAAATAATAGGTAGTAATTAAATGTAAAAAAACGTTCACAATTTTATATGAACCCTTTTAAACATTTATTCATGCATTTAAATGAGCCTGAGCAAATAAAATTACTAAAATCCTCTATACCTGGGTTTAAAATATTTAAATTTCGAACATTTACGTTGCACAATATGGTTTGACATTTTACCTTCAGGGAAAAAGTAAAAGACTGATAAACACTTTACATCTTTTATTAGATATTTTGCTTATTTAACTTAAAAAAGTTACAGCTTCTTAATTCCTACAAATTACCCATTCTCTACAAATTAGTCTCTTTAAAAAAAATAATGAAATGAAAAATTCATGGGCACTTTGGGTTATATGCAAAAGTAAGACATGAGAAAATGTGTTCAAGGGAGCACATCTGGAAGTGGACCGATGATACTTTTAAATTTATAGTGGTCTCTTGTTCCTCCGTAAGGTTCAGGAGGCTCAATTTTCTTCACAATGTCTTTGGCTTTGTACATAATACAGTCTTCATCAGTTGGCCAGAAATAGTATGCACCTGACTTGGAGCAATGCATTACTTTCACTTTGGCTTCATTTTGTTCAACACACTGTACTTCACCTGGATAGTAATCATTATCGTATTTAACCACAACCCAGTCTTTTTGAGGCATTAAATCCTGAAGGTTTAGGTCATTTCTCTCTATTTCGAAACGCTCGCCATACTCCTGTTCTGAGTCATCACTGTCCGAAGACTCCGGATTTTGAACAATTTTTACTTTTCTTTTTACTACATCGTCGCTTGTGTCGCCTACAATTAAGAAATCTTTTGATCCAGCTGCCGTCACATAATGCACTTTGTGAGTGTTAGGTACTGGTACGGAACACTCCCATATTTGCAGACCCTCAATCACTGCTTCTTGAATATCCTTACTTGAAATGAACTTAACTAACATAACCTCAACTTTACACACCAGTGTGCTGTGAACTTTCCCTCCAATTTAAAGATGTTTTTTTCTTGCTGTAAATGTAGTGTGCAGAGAAACAATGTTGCCAAATTGCGAACTTTCTGGCATGCTGTTATATTTTCATAGGTAATGTGTACACTTGAAACGTTTATTGGTTTCCCATCATGTTAGCCTATATGGGTTTTGTTTAAATACTTTAAAACACAGTTTAGGAGATTTAATAACCAACAGTTGTAGCAAATGTTATATATTTTTTTTTACTTTTGAAGCTTACAAAAACTTATAAATTTGGGTGATATGTTTTTATTTATGTTTAACAATGGGGGTGTGGGATAAATTTTACATCTAACTAAACTGAAAGGTTCCTTAGTGCAGGTTAATTGAGTACTATGATAAAAACTCAACTTAGGGTTTTATAGTATATGCAGCATGTTACGGTATTTAACATACACTACCCAATTTTAGTACTTTGGTGTCGGACGTAGGAAATATTTTCTACGTCCGACACCATGATTAAAAAAAAACCATACATGATAGATTTTTTTCCAAACATGGATCATTTAGACCTATGTAAACTTGCTTTGCATACTAGTTTTCAAGCTTTAAAAAAATCCCTCTAGCCACAGTAAAACTAAACATACATTTTTGGTGTCGGACGTAGAATTTAATCTTTCTTAATGTTAAACATCTGTAGGGTGGACAGAAAACCTTTTTCTTAATTCTAAATTGCATTAATATTTAGCTTTACTCTTAAACTATCAAAAAAATAATTCATAAGGCTTATTTGAGTAAATTTTGTTTGTTGGTTATGAAAATAACCAACATGGTTGTAAATCGGAGTGAAAAAAAAAACGGTAGTCTATAAAAAAACATGTATATATTTTTTATTTATTTTTTTTTTTGTAACCAATGTTATGAGTGGAAAGCTACACTAACGAGCTTTCCAAAAATGTATAACAGTAATGGGTTTGATAAAGTTGACAAGAAAGTATAGAGGTTGACCATTTTATGGAATTGCCCCAAAGTGGCTATTTTCAAATATTTATAGGCCTATAATTTATACAATTTCATTGAGCGCGAACTTATTTTTTTTTTGAAAATTTTCGAAATTAGGATATTTTTTTTTACCTAAAGATTTTTTTTTTTTTAAATGTTCCTTATGTTTTATATATAATATTGAAGCCCATGATTTTCCAAACAAAATGGTATATAGAACATTAGAATTAACATTGTTTTAAGCTTCTCAGATCCGTTTTAATAAAACCTTGCAAAGGGGCCAAAAATAGGTGGACATTAAGGCCTAAACTATGGACACTCGGAGGGCTAACTTAGCACTTAGGTTCATGGTCACCTATGCTATTTTACATAGAAATAGCCAATAAGTTAAGTGCTAAATTTACAATATTTAACATCTAAAGTAGAAGTTTTTAAAACCGGATAAGGTTAAATTATATAAGTTAGGCCAAGGCCTGGAAGACTATGATTGAGGATCAAGGCTAGGCCTATCTTATTAGGATAAAACAGTAATTTAAACTAGATTAATTTAATTTAAAAACATAAAATGTCCTAACAACAAAACCATAAAACCAAAATAATAGAATAGCGTACATGTAAATAAACAGTTTGAGTAGTTTTAAACTAATTGGCCTAGGTTACCCACTTCTCAAGGTGAAAGTTAATCGATGAAGCATGCCAATGAATTACATACCAAATTTAAGATAGTAAGTATCCTTTTAAAATTACTACCAGTGAATGAGGGAGGACGATAAGATGATGCATAAGCTTACGATTACTGATTCATTAGATATTCATTAGATATTATATCAATACAAACAATACACTAAAAATAGAAATTTGTACAATCCAATCCGCCGAGTTGGAAAACGTGGTCTGGGTAACGACCATGTAAAACATAGTTTTTCACTGTATATCCTAATTTTATACACCAGAGAACTATAAACTACAGTTAACATATACAGTGTTGGTAATACTTAGTATAAATTACAATAAATATTGATATACTTACAATTATAATTATCTTAAGAACAACACCATGTGGTGTGAAAACCGCGGCCGACTGTCCTAACCTAACCTTAACTTAACAAAAATATTTTCCGTGGTCACGTGGGATGCGAGCTGTATCTAGATTACAGGAAATTAGCATTAGCTCTAAACGTTACTATATAAGTTGTTTAATTTTTGAATGTCTGCTTTTTAATTCGGAAAGTGGTCGATGTATGAAGTTTATATTTTACAACCAGTGATACATAGCTTACTGGGTAGGTTAATAGTGGATATAGTTAAAAAATGTAATAACAATTTTAATCAAACACATGCTTACTGTACTTACTTGATACTTGAATACTGAATCGGTGACCGACAAAGTCGGAAAAGATTGCATCAATTGTAAATTAATAACAACTAACAACGATGGCAGCAGGACAAAAGGTGGGTGGTATGTCCTCTAGCTCATTTATATTATAAAATACAGAGGTCTGCACACCAAATAGTCCGTCAGTGTGACTTTTAAAAGCCCTATGTCCAGTTTGTGGACTTCAGCTGGCAGTGTGTTACAGAGCTTGCTGATAGCCATTTTGGGCCCAGAAAAGACGGCATCTAGGCAGGTCAAGGTCAAGGAGATGGCCAACTGTATGAGTATGGTTCCTATTTTCCATTTTAGCTTCCTTTCAACAAAAGTACGAATGTATACACTTTACTCCCAATAGAAAAAATGATTTTGGCATTTTAAGATCATGCTGGCACCTGCTTTGTTTACCTCTTGAGTAGGCTTGATAAAATCTAACTTAGTTCGAAGATTACGCCTCAAGAACAAAAATGCAGATGTGTTTGTCCATATTGCAATGTGAGGCGTAGCTCGATAGTGAAATAAAAAAAGTTCTCACCTATGCACCCACAACTTCTCATAACATACCCATATAAGACACCGAAACCGTTACTACCACTCAAGTTTACCATTGAATGTGTCTCTATGTACTGTACCTTCTTCTCTGTGTGTCATTAGTTTTGCCAATAACTTTATTATAGTAATGATTTTGTTTATCATAATTTATTTTACAATCTGTTCAAACGAATATGAGAACAATAAGTAAAATAGTTGACATAAAAATGGCAGGAAGCAAGCACCTGTTCATCAACAAGTCTTGCCAAAAATTTGATCAATGATTTAAATATTTACAGAAATCTGTAGCTTAGATCCAGCACATACAACACTTTTTAGTCTGGTCACTCATCCTTCACTCATATTTGGGTTAAAATACGCACATAGTGGCGTCCCCATCTTAAATAATTGATAATTGATAATTGATAATGCACTGACTATTGTCCAGCTGATTAACAGCAAGATTGTTATTCGGATGATATTCTAATTTTTTTTATACTTTTTAAGGTCTGTAATTTCTTCTTTCACTGATTTAATTTTGAAGTCATTCCTAATTGTAGTGTTGGATACGAACCAGGGTGCGCCAATAATTCTTCTCAGCGTCTTAGCCTGAAATTTTATTTTATTTTTATTTTATTTTATTTCAACGGACATTCCATTTTGTTTGATGTGGTGCTATTTGTTAACAAACTTATCTATGTCAATACAGTAGTAGTGCAATGTAGGCTACAGTTCAAGATGGCTAATATTAAATAACAACTATAAATCGTTCAAGAATATCGATGTTGGATTTGCTCGAGGTCACCCAAAGTTGAATTCCGTATGTCTAAATTGGTTTGATCATAACTTTATATAGCAAAATTTTGTTAGCCAATGGTAATTTTGAAGTCGTAACCTAGTAGCCAATTGAGTTTACGAATTTTTAATTCCATTTGCTGTCTCTTGCACCCAGATATGAGATTTCCAATTTAATTTTTTTGTCAAGAGTTAGACCTAAATATTTTAAACTGTCCGTTAAAGCTACATTATTAATGGTTACTGGAGAATTGTATTCTGTTCTCAGAGTAAAAACAATATGTTTGGACTTGTTTTCGTTGACACTAAAATTATTTTATTTTGACATTTAGTATAAAAAAATAAATAAAATATAAATATTTTTATGACAAGATTTTCATCAGATCTTTGAATATTCTACTACATAAATGCCTCTTTACATTTTTTAGTCCATCTAAATGCCTTTCATTTTATTAACAAAATATTAAGTGGTCCAGTAAGGTCGACCTATGCGTTTAAGATAAAATGTGTAGGTCTACTGTGTAATTGGCTAGACCTAAACATATTTTACGCTATCCTGGACAAAATTAAATACATTTATATTTATTTTAACTATGGCTAGGACGACTCGATCAAAGATGCGTGTTGCTTCCACCCTTGTGGCCAGGGACAGAGCGTGAAAACAAGCTTTAAAAATGCACCCCAGTAGTCCATTCTTCTGCGGGCCCGCGGCGGGTGATTTTGCAGACGCGCCTTATCTGCGTGAAATGAAAACACACTCCGTGTGGCATACCTCATTAGATTTAATGCTGCCCATATTTCTCGCACTTTTTCACGCTGCGTTCTTGCGTGAAAAAACGCCCGTGTGGCCGTAGCCTAAGTAATTTATTCTGACGAAACAGGATGCTGATTGGAGTGATGTTCTCTGCCGGACCTGGCGTGGAGGTAGATGGGATCTAAAGTATGTA